TATTTTATTTTCTCATTCCAAAGACAAAAATATTCAGGATGTAATTTAAGCATTTATTCTTAACTATTCCAGCATAAATAAAGATTCTGAACTTGTTCAGTGATGTTATAATACTAAAATATCCTCAACTTCTCTTTTTTGTAGACTCTGATTAATACTTCTACCAGTTTTATCTTTTACTCTAGGGCAGTAGGGAGTTACTACCTGTACCTAATATAGTGATATTAACATTGAAGGTTTAACTTGTGCTGGAAACCTGATGCTGTCAAATCTCACTTTTATATTCTAGATATTAAAACAACCTGTATTTTCCAGACATATCAATTAATTGGAAAGCTTATCTTTTAATAATGTGATGGGAAGGGGGGACAGAAACAACCAAATGAGAGAGCTAGTTTCTGCATGGCAAACTCCTGGGCTTCTTTGAATCTGACTAGTTATTGTTGAAACAGGATGCTGGAACAGAAAGACTTTTGATCTGGTCCAGAAACACCTTTGATCTGTCCAAAAAGTCTCTTATGTTCACAATTTTAAACATGTCTATTATTTTTTGCATCCTTCCACTTCTCCACATAAGGACAACTATGAGGTGTTCAGTTTTATTTACTATTCTCCTTGCCAACTACATGACCACAGAAAAAGAATACAGTATCATAACAGATTAATTCATTATTAATGATGATGAAGGAATGTAGGATTGCAAGTACCATCTTCCCCCTACAAATGTGTAAAGGAGAAACAAATCATATGGCAAAAAAAGGAAAAACTTGCCCATGAATGGGCTCTTATGTAACAAGGGATGTTTCTTTCTTATAAAAGGCAAGTGAAGTTGGGTCAACCTTTGAACAACGGTTCAGGAGGACCTAATTGTCAAATAGATTAAAACCAGCTGTACTTTTCACCGTATCTGGCAACCCAAGTCTCTAACGGGCTCACTTTCATATCAACTATCCCAAGAACTTCTTCCTACATTCTGTAATAAAAGGAGTATGCAGTACTTCAGGTCTGAAGTGGAAAAAGAGTAGAGGGGTCTACTCTCCAGGGAATATTTGAAAAGCTAATTACAGAAATACATGGAGTGATGTTATCTCCTGACAAAACAGGGCAAGCGCTTGTAACTGAAACCTTCCAACGGAAGCCACCAGTTCTCCTCAGAGTGAGACTGCTGTGAGATAAGTTTAGGCATATTCCAGAGAATCCTTTAACTTTCATGCCAGTTTCATTGTACAAAGAGTAAATGTGCAACGTGGGCCAGCCAAGGAATGTACACTTCTGCAGGAGAGATAGTGCAACATTAGCATGGCTAAATAGGTGAATGAACAGAAGAAAATATTGATTGCAAAAAATGCATTAAAATCAAGTCTAAAAAAACCCACAGCATATGTATCTGTATAGCACAAACACCCACTTAAAATATCCATGCAGAAATATAATAGCCAGTCAGAAAATCAACTGAAATAAAACCAGAAGCAGCCACAGGAGGAGCCAGATGTTCTCTTTATCCCTGAAAAGAGAGAGCTCAGCTCTGGACAGTAAGGAATTTCATAAAATGGCAGCAGCTTTTGAAAAGGCTATTTCTAGGCCGATGCAAGTCTGCTACAGAGGGGGAGTTTCTAGCTAGTCTTACTCTTAGATAAGGATGGTTAATGTGGGAGCAGGTGGTTTTGTAGATAGTTTGGTCATAAACTGGGCTTTAAAGACCAAACTTTGAATCATATATGGAAGTAAACTGGTAGCCACTATATAGAGGTTAAGGCATTGGTCCAGGTTCCAATCCACCTTCAGCCATGGAAGCTCACTGGGTGACCCACTCAGCCCAACCTACCTCATAGCATTGTTGTGGGGAAAGGGGGCACTATGTATGCTGTCTTCTGCTCCTGAAGGAAAGGAGGATATCAATCTATATAAATGCAATGCTATAAATATACCTGGAATACAAGGGTTGTTTTATGCTGTGACTTTGAGCCAGTTAAAACCTAGGCAACATATTCTGAACCAACTACAATGTCTGAAGGGCTTTCCAAGGCATCACAATGTAGACAGTGTCCCATAATCGAAACAAGACGAAACAAGGAATCAGTCTAGCCACTGTGCAGCAGTTGAAACTGAAGGAATGTCCCAGGTGTCGCCACAGTCATAGTAGGAAAGAAAGCAGAGTGGCACATTCAACTCATTTAGAGAAGTATAACTCCATCCAATGCCAGGGAACAGCCAAGCATGGGAGAACCTTACCTTTTGCCCTGAGAGTTTTGCTTAGATTTAATTCATTTCAGCTTCCTAATTACAAAATCAATGACTCCAAAGGACAGTTCAGAATATCTACAACTTCACTACCAAACACGTAAGACTGCAGTACTATATGAAGTTACATTAGGGAGGAAACGCTATTAAAACCATATACAAACGTACAGAGTGGCACTGTAAATCCTAGGCAAAAAAGCAACTCACAGGCAACAAAAGCATATAGTTTCTGTTAGTTTTCCAGTAAACATTTTCCATTTCAGTGAAACTGGATTTAAGAGAATGTTTTCTGGATAAAACAAATGTATCCAATAAGATTAAGAATAATTAGGAAAAACATATTTGCCAATTGGAAACATATTTTAAAAAGCAGACAAAGGGAGATCATGTCGGTCACTTTTCTTGTATGACACTTTTGAGCACTGCCATGCACAGATGTTGCAAATATTGATTTTCTTACAACTCCCAACATCTGTTTAAAAATTTCCCAAAGGTTTCTTAGTCCTCTGTGATTTAATGATATTCTGACATTCTTGAAGTATCATTGCAAAATCCATATATTTCATAATGGATATTTAAAGCTTCTCTGAATGCACATCTTGCCAATTTTTATTATAAATCTAGGCAAAAACAACAGTTTAATTTTCTCCTACATTTCTAAGATCCAAAAAGAATTTTGATGAGAAGTGATTTAAATAATTTTATTGGTTTATTTTAAGCTATACTGAACCATTGCAAAATGTTGGGAAATAAATGACTGTAAAGGAGAATAAAATATTTTCTCATTATATCATATTTCAGGAAGCAAAAAGGTAATGAATCATATCTTTGGGGATTATAGCTCAAGCATATTTGGATTGTACTCCAAAAGACATCAGACTCGCTTGTACTTTGTCTGGTCACAAACTCACTCAACCTTGGATAAACCATCTGTTGAAATAATGCAGTGAGGTTTTATCTTTACAAATTCCAGTGCATACTGACCAGATCTGCACCTCCCCAGTTAAGGTGCAAATCAGAACATAGTCATCCTTCAAATTTCAAATGTGGCTCTTGGTTCAAAAAATGCATTTCAGTGCCTGTATTTTACTCTGGAATCAATCTGAAGATGGAGATTGTAGGATGAATGCTTTTGGCTGTATAGGAACCAGGTTATAGATAGTACTCAGAGACAAAGAATAACGGTTGATCCTCATTTCCACAGTTCTGGAAATGAAGAGGCCGTAGAGATTTACAAACCTCATGACCACAACATTTGGCCTGATATTTAAAATTTTCCCTCCCCTTCCATGCCCTTCTTTCTTGATCTTCATATCTGATAAAAAATGCTGGAAAACTCAAAACTTTGCAGACTATTATGTCCTATTTCAATTTCCTACCAATATATTTTGTATTTAGATTTAATTACAGTAGAGGAATTAAGCAAAAAATTTCAAAACAAATGAGGCATTTTTTGGAGGGCTGACTGCCAGTTCTAGCAAATTAGCTTAAAATCACAACTATCACCTTAAAGCTATGAGTTCAACTTTTGGTGACTATATGAACACATCCATGTTGTTTTTTTGACAATGATACTAAAGTGGTTTGCCACTGCCTCCTCCCAGGAATTTTTTTAAAGATTCCAGTCCAGTTTACATCCTTGGGATTTCCTAGTGTTCCCCATTCAAATACTAATCAGATCTAATCCTGCTTAAATTTTCAAGATAAACCAAGGTGTTAAGTGCTGCCACCTGCTGTGACTGAGTTTACCTCCACAGGAATATAACTATAACTCAGCTAACCCAACAACCCTCAGGTAAATCTTTCTTTTAAGCATTCGCATCTTGCGTCACTATGCATGCACCTCATAATACTTCTAGCTATTTACATGCCACAGTCTGAGGTCAAAGTATTTCAAGACAAGTTGATGTCTTCCAAAACTATGGGACTTCAGTTCAATCAGCTCCAGCCAGCCTGGTCAATGACAAGGGACTGTGGAAGTTTCTGGAGGATACCCAATTGTCTATTCCCTGGTGTGTTTACAATTACATTGAAATTACAATTAAAAGCAATTTAATTAAATGCAGAATTTTCATCTGTATATCATCAGGGGACAATTTAGATTTATCTTTTTGTCATGTACTTTCCTCACAGAAGTGGGAGGGAAAGGGTAAGACACAGAAAGAGAGAGAAAGAGAGGGAAAACAATGAATGCAGAATGTTATAGAGATGGGAATATAGTTTTATCAGAAATAAAAATATGACATATTGATTAATTAGAATAAGATTCTTTGAAGATTACTAATATTTTTATATAAAGATATAAACCTTGCAGTTTTGTTCCTTTAAACATGATTTTTAAGTAAGATACCATTCCTTTTGGTTACCTCACCACCACCAAAAAAAAAAATCTTAGAATACACAGCACCCTTAAATGATTCAGTGCAAACCCTTGATAAGGCTTCCAAAATCTTTGTGAATAAAGCTAACTTTTCTATTTGTTAAGTCTATGGAATGGAAATGACTACTGAAATGAAAAATATGGTTATTTTACACAGGCATAAAAGCATCAAATCTCAAAGACTATAAAACTCATCTCACTATAGCTAACCATTTCAAGCCACTCAAATTCATGTTCTTCTTTCGTAACTACTAGAGTGTGTGTGGATGCATGCATGCACAAACCACAATATCTAGAACTAGATGAGGGACAATTTCAGACAATCATAGGTGACTGCAACTGATTTCAACATGTAACATAAAGACAGAATGAGAAAAACACACTTATTTGACCATTAGCTCACCTGATATGGCACAATACTTGCATGCGCAGTGCCCCACCGTCTGGATTCTGTTCTGCAGTTTAGGAAATTACTTGCTATATAGGTAAGGCAGGCAACCTGCAAAGATTTGAAGCAGCACAAATGTCACATTCTGAGATTACAGATATCTAAATATATATTCAGCCTACTTAGCACTATTAATTCAAAATTGCACCTATTATAGTGGTACCTCGGGTTACGAACACCTCTAACAAACTTTTCGGGTTGCGACCAGCTCCGGCCGAAAAAATTTACCTCGGGTTACGAACCGGATCCGCGGCCATTTTCCGCCATGACACGTGGTCCACGGCCATTTTCCACCCGTTCCACATGGTCCGGGACCATTTTTCCGCCCATGCCACGTGGTCCACGGCCATTTTCCACCCGTTCCACATGGTCCGTGGCCGTTTTTCTGCCCGTGCCACATGGTCCGTGGCCGTTTTTCTGCCCCTGCCACGTGGTCCGCGGCCGTTTTTCCGCCCCTGCCGTGTGGTCCGGGGCCATTTTTCCGCCCTGCCGCATGGTCCGGGGCCGTTTTTCCGCCCTGCCGCGTGGTCCGCGGCCGTTTTTCCGCCCCTGATGCGTGGTCCGCAGACGCCGGAACGAATTAACAGTAATTACATTGAACCTTATGGGAAAATTTGCTTCAGGTTGCGACCAAATCGGGTTGCGACCAGAGTCACGGAACGGATTAAGATCGTAACCCGAGGTACTGTACCACTGTATCTCACAAACTTCAGCTGACCTTAAACAGTGTCTTAGAATCTTGGCTGACTACTGCAAAGTACAACAGTTGGCAATTAATTACCAGAAAACTAAAGTAGTGGTCTTTGCTAAAAATTATAAAAAACGTAAGTGGACCACTGCAGAGAATGAAACTGAACAAGTTAAGAGCTTCAAATATGTGGGGATGGTACTCCACACTACTGGCTTTTGGAAAACTCATATAGATTACATGAAACAGTTAGCACTGAGGAACTCATGGCAATATTAGCCACTTTTTGTGAGATGGGCGGTATCTAAATTTGAAAAATAAACAAACAAATTAATTAATTAATTAATTAATAAGGAATGTTTTTCTGCAGCACTGAAGTTATTTGAGGCAATGATTATGACCCAAATACAGATTGTCCTCATTTAGCAACCACAATTGGGACCAGCAGCTCTGTCGTTAAGTGACGTGGTCATTAAGTGGAAAATCACATGACCACTACTATGCTTTCCTTTTCCCCACTCACCTGCCCTTTGGAATGCTCACATGGGCACTGGGATAATTAGCAAAAAGGGAATTAATGTTTGTATTTACATTCATTGGAGAGGAAGGGATTACAAGAGAGTAAGGAGGCACACAATGGGAAAGACACATCAAAAGCAATGTACTGATGCTGGCAGCCCTGAGCGTGCTATGCAAACAGCCTGGTATATTCCCCATTGTGTGCCTACTTACTCTCTTGTAATCCCTTCCTCTCTAAACTCTCTACTGTGTGAGGGGAGGGGAGGGAAAAAAAAGACAAGCAATTTCTGTAGGCAATCTCTCCTGTGCCTGACCCTTATACCAAACTGGCTCTCAAGTAGATATTTAATCATGCTGATATCCCCTACTCAGCAGCAGCATTTTTTTAGCCTGACATGATGTTTTTACCTGTTGTAGATTAGCCAAAATTCCTTTTTCCAGAAGCACTTGCCCCTGTGATTCAAATTCAAAACCACCCAATATGTTTTGTTGTATTGCTCATACAGCATTATCAAGGTAGCCATCAATCAATCATCTTTCTTTTGTTAGAACATATGCCAGGATGATCAGATAAGTTTTATTTTGCTTTTCTCTTTTCAGACAATAAGCCTAACATTACATATAATGCAGCTAAATTTTGTGTCACAACTATTGAATAAATTACTACAGAATTAGATCTGCCATAACAAAGAATAAATATTTGACCCAGAGTGAGTTATGTTACATGCTATTCATTAGAATTTTACATACGGTTTTAAATTGGTTTTTATTATGCTATATTATTGTAATGCACTGACTGAATAAATTTGGGTGTGTGCATTGATGTTTCAAATAAAAAAGCATTGCATTGAAACATTATTCTTCTCTTTTATACAGTAAAAGGAAAAACATATAGCTGGTGGCTTGAAGATCCATCATACAATCAAAGTGAAATGAGATCTTTGCCCAAACCTTTCATAAGTCAGTCAATATGCTTTTACAAGAGCCCCAACCAGAATTCCCATTTGTATTCAGAGGATCAGCTAGAACTCAGACACCAAAACCAAACCATGGAAGTTGCAAAGAGAGGGGAAAGGGGACTCATTGATCTTCTAGGCCTCAACATGGCTCCTCTCCCCAGGAGATCATTTTGTTGTTCCTGATGTCACCTGCTATAAATACCATTGAGTCAAACTCTATCACTTTAACAGGGCAACATAAATTCCACTGTCCATTTTGCTTTCTTCTTGGCTTGTTTTCCATTTAGCCGCCCAGATTAATTAGTCTTCCTTTCTCCTGCTTCTCTGTTATTCCTTCTGTGCTTCCTCAAGTCTCCACCTTGATTTCTTTCTTAAATTAGGCCTTGGTTTGGCCATTGCTTATGTCTTGGCCTGGAGCCCAATTCTCCAATGCTTCCCAGAGCAGGAGAGAACATGTGATTTACCATCCCTGCCCACTCTCACACTCTTTTTCTTGCTGATATGGTGAAGGAATCAGGCCCAGGCTTCACTCTGATGTCCAAGGCAGTTTGTGAGTGAGGATCCCGAGAAGCAGAAACCAGGTCTGGATCTGTCCCAGTCTCTATTTTACTGCTAATCCCAGTTCTATGCAATTTGGCATTCTGAGCTTTTCAGCAGGAATTTAGCTATCTATATTGTAAATCAGAACTTCCATATTTGGCAGGTATGTAGGTAGATGCTAGCAAAATAATGCAAACAAAATCTAATCTCATCTAGCAACAATTCTCAAGATTTACTTAATTCATTACCAGAGAAGTTTATTGTTCTAAATGACAAAACAAAAAAATTAGATTACCCATAAGAAAGTTAACTGAAATATTGATATTTTAAAACATTCTATTTATTTATTTAGTAAATTTATAGGCCACCCATCTCATATACATGACTCTGGGTGGCTACAATTAAAACAAAAAAGTTTTAAAAAAGAGTTAAAATAAACAAAAATGGCATAAAAATAGTAGCCAAGAAGACTCATAAACACTCAATGGGCTCACCCAAGTTATCAGGGCCCCAGACTCAATGGCAAAGCTAAGTTTTTAGTGCCTTGCAAAATGCCAGCAGGATTAGGGCAAGTCTAATTTCTGGGGGGATGATGTTCCAGAGGGTGGGCGCTATGGTAGAAAAGATCTTCTGGGCCCTAACAGATGACACTCTCTTGCTGATAGGATCCAGAGCATAGAAAACAATACTGTTGTCCAAGCCCTTGAATTCACCTACCATCAATAGTTTGGCCCTGATCTCATGGTAAATGGGACAGTGGAAGGCATAGTGAATAACGTCCTCCACTTGACTTACACTACAAGGCAGAGATGCTGTTCAACAAAGGCACTTACAAAATCTTCCTTCAAGGTATACTGAAGGCATGGTCTACAAGCGAAGGGATGTAAAAGCCTTTCTCAGTGGGACACTGGTAATATTAACTAGATACTAGAAGAGGCTTCTCTGGTTTTTATAATGATGAAACCAAGATGAAAATTTGGATGACTATTGCAGTAGTATCTTTATTGGCATCATTTTCAAAAAGCCTATCTCTAATATTTTCTCTGTTTCAAGAAGCAGGTTTCCCCCCAGAGGGGTAAAGAATACATTTGTAGGATAGGCAACAAGAGTTTGGTCCACTGATTTCCAACTATGTAATAAAGAAAATAAAGTTTGGCAAGGTGGGATTCTTGAAAGTTTTCCATATTTTTATAGTGCCCCAATAATGCAAGAAGTACTCCAAGGGTAATGGGGTGCTCTGTGATAGTCTCAAAATCTTCCTTATGAAGTTGGAAGTTTATTGTCCAATTGGCAATAAACTTCTCATCCCATCCCCAGATCTCAGCCCCATACAGCATTTTCACTATCAACTTGCCTTGGAATATTTTAAATGCAGAGGCTACAAGCTGCCCTGAAAAACTTCAGAATAGCACTCACTGTATATTGGGTGGTTGCTAAAATGGTAGTTGAGAGTGTTTCCATACAAGGGACTTACAAAAAGCGATGTCTAAATATAGTATTCTGTTGTTATCAACTCCAATAAGAAAAGCAATCTCTTTGCCCTTATCTTCTGTTGCCCAAAGTCTAAGAATTATCAAAATAATTATAGGTAATTCTGGAACACTCATGAGTGGCTGCAGCATCACATCTAGAACGTTTACTGAACTGTTGTATAAATCCATTCTATTTTCTGGTGTCCATTACATAAACATTTAAAACTAAACTATTTTAGCACAGACGTGATTAGCTGTTGTTCTACCAAACTCAGATTTCCATGTCTGAGTTCACATACCACAATAAGCCAAAATGTGATTTACTCATTTGTGGCTTAGCATGTTATGCAAACCAATCAGTCTGGTTTGTAAATTATGATATAGAGCCATTATATGAAACCAGCTAATTGTGCTGTATTCACTGAACTATGGCTGAGCAAACATGACTTTGTGTAATGCTTGTACCAGGACCATTTTTTGAATAAAGGGAAAGATATCATTTGTCTAACTAGAATATAATACAATAGTGATGTGCTTGAACTAGGAAATGAGGGAATCTATCAGTAACCATGACCCATGGCCATAAAATCAAATCTTGGTTTGTTAATTAAGTGAAGAAAGCCTTCGTATTTGTTTATTCAGAGTGAAGCATAATTACACTTTTAATCACTGTTAGTTATAATTACTGACTTTACACACTTCATGAAAAGTTTTCAGTATTTCTCCAAGAACAGAACTGACAATGGCAGCTAAGCTCTGAAAAGACAGGTTGTCTGTGGTTATCAAAATTATCTCTGCAGTATAGACACAAAAAAGAGCTGGAAAAATGTTTGAATATGCTCCCATCTGACATGAGCCAACATTTAGGTTCTG